CCTCCTCCTCCTCCTCCTCCTCCTCCTCTTCCTCCTCCTCCTGAAGCACTGGGGCACTGGGGCACTGATGGCAGGAAGGTCTCCAGACGTAGCCATCTCTCCTCCTCCTCCTCCTCCTCCTTCTGCTCTGGGGGGAGGGGCCTGTGCTCAGGGGAGGCTGCAGCACCGCTCAACGATGTGTTGTTAAACCGAACCTCCAGGGTGGGCCCCTTCTCTCTGCTCGGTTCCAGCGGGGCCGCTTCAGGCCTTCATGCCGACGCGCGCGCCTCCTCCTCCTCCTCCTCCTCCTCCTCGTCCTCCTCCTCCTCCTCCTTCTCCTCCTCCTCCTCCTCCTTCCTCTTCTCTCCTCCTCCTCCTCCTCTCCTCCTCCTCCTCCTCCTCCTCCTCCTCCTCCTCCTCCTCCTCCTCCTCTTCCTCTTCCTCCTCCTCCTCCTCCTCCTCCTCCTCCTCCTCCTCCTCCCTCTCCTCTTCCTCATGTGGCAGCGGCGTTCGTGGACGGCCTGACCAGCATCATGAAGAACAAAACGGCGCTCGCAGCGATCATGCAGCCAGTAGTCACGACACTGCAGGAGTTCATGGCACAGGTCAACGGCGTGTGGGGCATGAAAGTGATCACGGAGGTCTTCAAGCACTGCAGTATCCAGGAGACCTACAAGGCCGACGACGAGAGGAGCGACGACGACCGCACGGCGAAGGTTAGCTTCGTGATCAATCACAGCCCGTGCTTTCAGGCGGCGTTCTACAAGGACGACGTCGAGGAGGGGAAGATGACGGCGTTGTTGGGTTTTCAGGTCACGATGTCCCAGCAGGCGCTCAACGCGGCGGTGGCGCACCAGGGCGGTATCAAGGGCCGCTCGGGCGGCCCGAAGACGGGCTTGGAGCGGACGGTGGCGAGGCAGCTACAACGACGCATGTGATCTAAAGTAACCAAGTCGGCGAGCTACCACTGCCCCAAGCCCGCAGCCTGCCAAGGCGCCCTGCCGCTGCAAGCCCCGCGAGCTATATCCCTAGCGCCACCAGCTCAGTCAGCTGGCCGCCAGCGCAGCCTTGACGCACACACGCACACACATGCGCACGAGAAGAACACATATCAATGGAAAATGGCCAATTTCTTGTACGAGACACAGAGTTCAGCAACACAGTAAGGTGTTTGGAGGACATATGGAATACACATCACGATGTTAACCAGCGTGGGCCCCAAACAGTAGGTTCTTGCAAGCAATCTATGCGTGTGCAATTCGTCCTTTATGTTGCAAGGGATTCTTGAACACTTATGACTTTGCAGGCAACGAGTGTGCGCGCATAATATCTGTTGCAGAGGATGGCCAGGGGGGCGATATCTGGTGGGCCGGGGTGGTATGAACTCATCTATAGGATGGGCGATGGGCAGAATCATATGTAAACTGCAATACGAAAATGATAATCTTGGGGAGTAGAGTCTGTTCTGGTTTTAGAAAGAAGAGTTCACAATGCCGAGCTCGAAGTTGTCGACTCCACTCCTCGCGCAATCATCCCACCTGCCCACCCGCAACTTGGTTTGCAGAACCCATGCGGTGGCGATTGCGATGCATGCTTGGCGTTGGCTGGTGCATCCCTGTGGCCGCGCTGACCCGCGCATGCTCACGCACGCAGCGGCCAGCTAGTTTGGCGCGACCGACGCGAACGCGTTGGCGTTAACCGCTCGGCACATCCCAGCGGACACTTCAGTGCGAGTCGGCGGCTTGGGCGGGCGCGGTATCACTGCAACGTCGGCAACGATAGACACGATGATGATAAAAGCGGTGCTGGTGACGATGCTAACAGCGACGACGGGGCAACCAGTGACGGCGCCGATGCTGATAACACCGACGACGATGACGGCGTCTTCGCGTCGGAGATGAAGGTTTTGGAAGGAGTTCGACATGCGCGCGCGGCAGACGCGCGAGAGCGGCCCGTATGGTTTTATGTGGCACGGATCGTGCCACCCCAGCGCGCGCGCAAGGGCGTTCGAACGAATTCGGCATGCGCGCGCGAAGCCTGTTTGGTAGCATTTTCTGCACATGATGGAAAAGACCGATGGTATTCTGAATAGTTCGCAAGAGTCAGTTTTTTGGTGTGGAAGCTTCCGTGTTGCGAAACCATGTGTGTTTATATGTTCTTTGGGCACTCGATTTTACAATCTTTACGAAGCTGCTGTCTTTTGGATGGATTTCGGCATGCGCGCGCGACGACGCGCGCATGTGCATTTGTTGTTTTTGCATGGGATTCTTGAGCACTTGTGATTTGTGATAAACGAGTGCGAACGCGTAGTATTTGTTTGCAAAGGATGGCGGGGGGGCGATACCGGTTGGGCTGGGGTGGTACGGGTTCATATTTAGGATGGGCGATGGGGCAGATTCGTATGTAAATTGCAAGGCGAAAAAAAAGGGTACCGATAAGTCCAGGGGGGGTCGAGTTTATTTTTTTTCCGGAAGGGCAATTTATGCGACGGCGACGACGGCGACGGGCAGCACCGCCTGCAAAAGGCAGCGTTCGCTCCGAGCGGCGGCGACGGTGACGGCGGCGACATCGGCGACGGGCGGCATTGTCCGCAAAAACCGCCACTCGCCCTGAACGGCGGCGACGGCGACGGCGACGGCGACGGCGGCGACGGGCAGCACCGCCCGCAAACGCCGCCATTCACCCCGAAATGGTTAAGCCAAGTAAGAGCCCCTAAGTGCAAACACTGTTTGGGGAAACAGCTACTTACTATCGGGACCAGCGTACAAAACGATTACTACCGTGTTATGGGATAGCCACGGGCGACGGTGGGGACGGACTTACAGCTTCCTTCCCTGTAGCAGTAATTGTGACGAGAGTCTCCACCCACTTCCCCTCCATCCTCGCCGCCTCCCTTAGCCCAGGCCGGGACAGAGATGCCTATAGTCACTTCGACACACCCGCAGCTGCCGCCATTGACGAGGCATCGGTCAGGCCAGCCTACTCGCTGTTGGCTGGGGGCCTACTTGCAGACATTGCGTACGGTGAAACACACTGGGGGCTATACTGCGATATGCCAGTGGTCCAATGACGGCGTGCGCCCGCCCATGGCGGAACCAGAGCCACACAACTGGGGGACCCACTGTTACGTCGTACACATGTCGGGCTATAATGTGACGTGCCAGTGGTCTAACGACGGTCGCATTGCGGTAAGGCGCTCAAAACATACCGTAGTCGTCGTTCGTAACCAGTTGGTGCTAAGGTCAGGATGGGAAAGAGGTGTTGCAGGCCTACGCTGGGCCTGGGTCGGGAGTTCGAGTGGCTTCAAGAGGGACTAGCATCAAAAGGACCTACTGGGCCCTACCACCACGACTTCCACTTCATTACGTACGACCAGGTACGCTAAGGCACGACGGTAAATAAGGATACTACTGCGCACCACCGACGTATTATCCAGGACCGCTACCCATGGACTGCGGCCAGGTTCCGTAACCTATTTCGGTTTCGTTACCCAGCAGTCGCAACGCACCCAGCCCGAGACGAGATCGCGGGCGATGGCGCAGGAGGGCCCAGGGAGCCCGACAGTGTGGGCCAGTGCAGCGCCCAACCCAGAAGCCAGCGGCAGCCCCGGACATGCTCTCGTACAGCGTGCTCTACACCGTGGAGGGCCCATCGATCATATCTTTGGCAGCATGGAGTACCGCTTGAAGATCGCGCGCACGAGCCGCCAGAGCACGCCGCAGATCTTCGCCGACATCCGCCTGCACTCCGATAAGTTGCTCGCCAGCCTCCAGCGCAAAGAAGAACGGCTGTTACCACATGTGGCAGGATCGAGTCAGCCAGGAGCGCCAACCCGAACGAGGAGATGGAGCGTTGCCAGGTTCAGCTCGTATTGGAGCAGCAGATCGAAGAGGTCGGGCGTTCGGCCAGCGAGCACAGCCATGCGATGAATGACTCCAGCAGACATGTGCTCTGACCATTCCCATGGGAGCAGGACTACGCTCGCCGCCAGACAGACGAGATCGACGGCGTCGACACGAAGTGGTCGAAGTCGCCGCAGGGATTCGGATACGACTCTGCCTCGCCCGCAGATCAGGAGACTACGCTCCCAGGCCGACGTGCCCGATGCCATCGCCTTCGATCCGGGGTTGGCGCCAGCCTAGTTGATCGATGTGAATTCGCAGAGCGGCGATATCCGCCTCCACGACTCCACTGTCGCCGCAGCCGCGGGATGGGGAGTAGGGCTTGGAGGCTTTGAGTAGATCGCCGTGCACGGTGCTGCGCACCATTGACGGAGTGACCCTCTAGGACTAGCGTTTTCATTTGCCAGTGCGGCGCTGCTCCTTTCTCACGCCCAGAGGGTCTCAGAGTTGATGTGTGTGTGTGCCGCCCGCGTCCCTTCCTCGTGCCAGAGGGTAGTGGGGGCCGGTTGATGAAAACCAATTTCCAGGCCGCTCCTCTCTTTTCTTTTTGCTTGTGGGCGAGGGTGGGGATGGGGGGGGAGAAGATGGGAGGAGGATGCTCTCAGAGGCCGATGCCCGCCCTCGAATTGCGATGGCAGTGTCGGCCTCCTGTTCAGTTCGATCTTGCCTTCTGGCAGTTTTCCCTGCAGCGGGGCAGCTGACCACCGCGCATTGTGTGCGGGGACAGCCACGCCCCAGGCAGCTCCGAGGGTCAGACATTCGACTCAGCGGCCTGCTTCCCTGTGCTCCCTAGGGTCCCTATGGTCTCAAGAGTGCCCAGTCTATGGGCGCATGGACCCCCCGCGGCCTTATCCGTATCCTCCTCCTCGTCCTCCTCCTCCTTCTCCCCATCCTCGTCCTTCTCCTCCTCTCGTCCTCCTCCTCCTCCTCCTCCTCCTCCTCCTCCTCGTGGCGACTTTGATCACGACACCAGCCCGTCTGGGGGTACATGTTCCTCCGTCGAGGAGGACGCCGACGACGTTGTCGATTACGACGACGATGTCGACGACGTCGGCGATGTCGACGAGCGGTCGTCAGGGCCCCTACCGCCGTCCTGTGCGTCGCCGTCGAGGGCCGGCGATGACCTACGACTACGCCGCCTACCTGGACCTGCCCACAGTGCGCGGCTCCAAGGGCGGGCCTGTTGGCCCGCAGGTGCCGGCCCACTTCGATCCGATCAATCCTATTCGATATCGACTTGGCCAGCTCGATCCGATCCTGTTTCGATTTCTCGGCGATCTGGTGCGGTCCGATGCTTGCATGGCGTTGTTGTGAATCCTCGTGCAGTCGACTCCGTGTCGATGCGGCCCGATCCGACGCACGTTCCGATTCGACCCGATTCCCCGAGCCGATGCTGACCGATCCTATCTGCAGGTGCCTGCCCACCTGCTGGCGGACTTTTCCGAGGACGCCCACCAGTGCGAGGCGATCCACCTGGCCCGCCAGGTCCCCTGAGATCCTGGCGTCGCATTTTCTCACGGCGGGCGACCTCGCCCTGTTGCGGGCGCCGGGACCCTCGCAGCTCGATCCGGCCCGAAAAACACCGCAAGAAGACCGGGCCCAGGGCTCTGGCCGAGTTTACTGCCTCTGGCCCAGCTTTTCCTCGCGACGCTGGATCTCGAGGTCTGCTCCGAGCACACGCAGTGGCTGGAAAGCCTGGAGAGGCAGGAGCAGGACCGGAGGGGTCGGCAGGAGGCCGTGAGGGCGGCCAAGGCCGGCGGCGGCGGCTACCCCGGGGCCGGCGCCGCGCGTGCAGGCGCCGTCGCAGCGCCGCGGCGGCCCCCCGTGTGGGAGTTCAGCCTGTCGAGCGGCGGCTGGGAGGCCTTCAAGCCAGAGCATCAGCCGCAGCTCGAGGGCGCGCACGCGAGGTTCCTCGGAGGCTCGAAGGGCGACACCGAGACGGCGATCAAGCACGGGGCCCACACCATCGTCGTCAACTTCGCAAGCATGACGCAGCAGGTCCGGGGCAGCGATCGCAAGCGGAACGTGCGCCGGCGAGAGTGAGGCGTGCCGTGAAGGCGCTCCTGATTCGCAGGTTGCCAGAGATTGTCCTGGCCCACGTTGCTCCCAGCTTTTGGCATCATTTTGGCGCCCCTGGGCCGTCTTGGCCTGGTGAGGGGTACTCTGGAGGCCGTCTGAGGCTTCCAGGAATGGCTTCGACTCAGAGGGATCGAAAGGTCGTAATATCTTCCTTGGTGGAAGGCGGCTGAAGGCAGGCGGCAGTAACCCGGCGCCAGGTCTGCCAGCGGACGATGGCGGAAGCAAAAGGTGCGCCCAAAGAGAGGGTAAGATATTGTTCCAACCATCCTGTGGTGTTGGATCCTCGTTTTGAAGACAGCGCCCCGCGTCTCCCTCCTCCTCCTCCTCCTCCTCCTCCTCTTCTTCTCCTCCCCCTCCTCCCTTCTCCCATCCTTGCCTCTGCCATCCGCATTTGGCACACTCCTCGAATGTTTCGTGGCCCCAAAAGGAGCTCCACCTAAGGCCCCAGTGGCTGCACGCGCATGCCGCCACTCGCCCAGTGTAGCAGCATCCCTCACACGTTTCTTGGCCCCATAGGGAGGTCCACCTAAGGCCCCAGTGGCTGCGCCCGCGTCCCGCCACCCCCTCACTTTGGCACACCCCTCACACGCTTCGTGGCCCCATAGGGAGGTCCTTCTAAGGCCCCAGTGGCTGCGCCCGCATGCCGCCACCCCGCTGACTTCTGGCGCACCTCTCACACGTTTCGTGGCCCCGTAGGGAGCTCCACGTACGGCCTCAGTGGCGGCGCCTGCATGCCCGCTCAGTGTGGCGCACCCCTCACACGTTTCGTGGTTCCATATGGAGCTCCATCTAAGGCCTTCGTGGCTGCGCCCGCATGTCTTCTCCCGCTTCTCCCGATTCCTGTCAGCCGCAACGGGTTAAATCAACATGTAGCCCGTTTCGGCTGACCTCCGCGCCCTCTGCGGGCGGCCCTAGCGGCAGCGCCCGCATAGCGGCCCCGCCCCATGCCTTCAAGCGCTTCGTGGCCCCGTAGGGAGCTCCACTGAAGGTGGTTCTCACAGCGGCGGTACGCACAACTGCATCTGGTTGGGTCCTTCGCCAAGGTGATTTTGGTTCGATGGTTTTGGAATGAAGTCGGCAATTTTGGCCACTCTCGACAAGCTGGGTTCACCTTTGGCCAGGGCCTCCTCTGGGAGCACCCGCCTGACTGCGAGCGCACAGTGCAGCTCCCTCCGCCTCGGGGGCGGAGCTCAGCGGCAGTTGTCCGACGACGGGGGCGACCAGTAGGCAGAGCCGTCGGGGCCAGCTCGTCCAGGGTTCCCGAAGGGGACCAGAGCAGGTGGGGCCGGAGGATCGCGCCGCATCGCCGATGCATCCCTGATGCATCGGCGATGTGGTACGGTCTGGAGCCCGCTCTTCTGCATCCCGCCGTCTCCGATGAATCACCGATGTATCGGCGATGCCGCGCGAGCTTCCGACCCCACCTGCTCTGGCCCCACGCGGGAGCCCTCCGGCTTGGCCGCTGGCGACACAGGGCTCGGGCGGACTGCCCACGACAGCGGGGCGCCTGGAAAGGAAAAAGATGATGGCGCGAGTGGATGCACCGGGAAGCTGGGCGCACGTGAAGCGGCCGGCCTGGGCGAGCGCTGCTGGAGTGACGTGTGGCCAGGTGTCTCTTCAGTGCTCCGCCCTCGTACAGCTCGGCGCGTGGCCTCCGTACATGTGAATGCAGCTGGCCCTCCAGAGGTTCCCCGCGTGACGAGTCTAGCCGTGGGGGTTTCCGGCTTCCTGGTAGTATTAAGTCGGGCCTGTCCCTCTACAGGAGGAAAATTCAAAAATAGTCAAACAATAGTTTGGGAACGATCTTTTTCATATTTGTTGGCATGTTTTTTTTTTGGGGGGGGGGTATTTTTCCCCACATCCAAAGTGGGGTTCTTGTTTTCTCTGCACACCTTCGCGCAGGAACCTCCATCCCTTTCTCCGCCTCGCTCACGCATTCACCCCGTCATCGGTCATCATCTCCATCGGTCATCATCACCACCACCATCATCATCATACTCAGTCACTCACCATCGATCACCATCACCATCGGCCATCGATCATCATCATCAGCATCACCACCACCGCCATCATCATCATCATCATCATCATCATCATCATCATCATCATCATCATCATCATCATCATCATCATCATCATCAGTCGCACATCACACATACTCTCTCTCATCACTCAGTATCATCAAGCGGGAGCCTCGTCTGTGAGTGAATTGTGAGGAAGTCTCAGGCGGGAGCCCCCTCCCTATGGGGCCCGCACTTCATGTTGGTAATCCGAGCGGGTCATCCTCGACCCTGTACTTGTCTTTTTTTGGCTTCTGAGGCCTGAGTATGGGGGAAGTATCAGGCGGGAGCCTCGTCTGTGAGTGAACTGTGAGGAAGTCTTAGGCGGGAGCCCCCTCCCTAAGGGGTTCGCACTTCATGTTGGTAATCCGAGCGGGTCATCTTCGAATTTGTAACTTTCGTCACTTTTGGGCTCTTGAGGCCTGAATATGGGGGAAGTATCAGGCGGGAGCCTCGTCTGCGAGTGAACTGTGAGGAATTCTCAGGCGGGAGCCCCCTCCCTATGAGGCCCGCACCTCTCGTGCTTCCTCCGGGTCGTCCTCCGGCGCGCGCTTCCTTTGGTCGTCCTCCGGCGCGTATCCGCCGGGACGCACGTCGTGCGCTTCCTTTGGGTCGTGTTCCGCACGAGGAGGAGGAGGAGGAGGAGGAGGAGGAGGAGGAGGAGGAGGAGGAGGAGGAGGAGGAGGAGGAGGAGGAGGAGGAGGAGGAGGAGGAGGAGGAGGAGGAGGAGAGGAGGAGGAGGAGGAGGAGGCGGAGGAGGAGGAGGAGGAGAGAGAGGAGGAGGAGGAGAGGAGGAGGAGGAGGAGGGGAGGAGGAAGGAGGAAGGACGAGAAAAAGAGAAGCAGGAGGAGGAGGAGGAAGAGAGGAGGAGAGGAGGAGGAGAAGGAGATGGAGGAGGAGGAGGAGGAGGAGAAGGAGATGGAGGAGGAGGAGGAGGATGAGGAGGAGGAGGAGGAAGCAGAGGGCGAGAAGGACGAGGAGGACATGGAGGAAGAGGAGTGCCCTAGGAGGCCCCAGGATGTCCAGGGAGGCCCAGAAGGCTCCAGGAGGCCCCAAGATGCCCGAAGAGTCCCCAGGAGGAGGCAGGAAGCCTAAGGAGGAGGCAGGAGGAGGGGGAGGCGGAAGAGGAGGGGGGGAAGATGGAGACGAGGAGGAGGAGGAGGAGGAGGAGGAGGAGGAGGAGGAGGAGGAGAAGGAGGAGGAGGAGGAGGAGGAAGCGGAGGAGGGAGAGGGTAAAGAGGAAGATGGAGAGGGGAGGTTGAGGAGGAGGAGGAGGACGAGGAGGAGTAGGAGGAGGAGGAGGAGGAGGAGAAGGAGGAGGAGGAGGGAGAGGGAAAGCAGCAGGAGGAGGAGGATGACGCAGGAGGCAGGAGGAGCATGAGGAATGGGGGGAGGAGGTATAACGACGAGGAGGAAAAGGAGGAGGAGGAGGAGAAGGAGGTGGAGGTAGTGGTGGAGGAGGCAAGAGGAGGAGGCAGGGGTTGAGGTAGGAGGAGGAGGAGGCAGGAGGAGAAGGGGGAGGCAGGATAAGGTGGGAGAAGCGAGGGGGCAGGAGGAGATCCCCAGGCAAGCTAAACAGATTCTCATTCGGGGTACTAACGTCGGAGTAATCATTGTTTCGTCCAAAATCCGCCTGTAGGGGACATGCCCGACCTAAGCCGTGCTCCAGTGGTCATGGGTCGCCCGTCTCGGTACTCACGCCAAGGCTCCCTGCTTGTTTTGGCGGTGCTGACGGCGCTGGAGAGACCCGGACCTCGCCAAGAGAGCCTGCGACTCTGGCACCTCATCGGGTCGCGACAAGTCCAGTCTCGTGCAACGCGGGTTCACTTTGTCGGCCGGCTCTGGGCTGTATATGAACACAGCCTTTGCTTTGCATGTGCTCGCCCCCCCTCAATGCGATCTGCGATCGGCATTTTCTCTGGAGAGAAGAGTGATTAGCATGACGACGACGACGACGGCATGATGCTGCTGATTATGATGATGATCACGATGGCAATGACGCTGCTGCTGATGATGATGCTTACGATGATAATGCAGCTGATGCTGATGCTGCTGCTGATGATTATGGTGATGATGATGATGCTGCTGCTGCTGCTAATGGTGATGATGATGATGATGATGATGATGATGATGATGATGATGATGATGATGATGATGATGATGATGATGATGATGATCATGGTGGTCATGATGATGATGGTGGTGGTTGGGTGGTGATGACGATGATGCTTATGCAGATGGTGCAGGTGCTGCTGCTGCTGCTGATGATGATGATGATGATGATGATGATACGTATGCTGATGCTGCTGCAGCTGCTGATGATGATGCTGCTGATGATGGTGATGCTTATGATGCTGATGATGATGATGATGCTGACGACGATGATGCAGCTGATGCTGATGCTTTTGCTGAGGATAATGGTGAACATGATCCTGATGATGATGCGGTTGATGCTGATGATGATGACGATGCTGATGCTGCTGATGATGATTATGCTGACGATGATGCTAATGCTGATGATGATGACGATGACGATGATGCTGATGATGACGCTGATGCCAGCGATGGTGCTGATGCTGTTGTTGAGGATGCAAGTGATTGTGATGATGACAATGATGCTGATGGCCATGGTGATGATGATGATGATGATGATGATGATGACGATGATGATGATGATCATGATGATGATGATGAGCAGGAGGAGGAGGAGGAGGAGGAGGAGGGTGATGATGATGCTGCAAATGATGAGGAGGATGGTGATGAATTTGATTCTGAAGATGATGATGATGAAGATAATGACGATGCTGATGATGATGCTGATAATGAAGATGATACTGATGCTGGTGATGACGAGGATGATGATGACGAATCTGCTGATGATGATGATAACGATGCTGATGATGC